CCGCCTGCCGCGTCTCCCGGCACAGCGACGCCAGGCTCAGGAAGCCGTGCGGCAGGTCCTCCACCACGCTCAGCGTCACGGGCTTGCCCAGGCTGCGCAGCCGCCGCGCGAACATGACCGAGTCGTCCAACATGGGGTCCAGCGCGCATGCCTGCGGGACAGTGGGGGTGAGGCGTGAAGCAAGGGTGGGGGGCGGGAACATGTGGACGAAGGGGCAGAGGAGGGAGAAATTGGGCGGGAAGAGTTGCAGAGTGAGTTTAACTGGGCTCCCGGGCCTCTGCCAGGCTTCTTCCCCCTGGGACCCGTCTCTTCCCTTTCCCCGACTCTCCAAGCCCTGTGGCGGCCCCACGGTGCTCAACAAGACTGCAAAACAGTACAGCAGCCCTGACTCCCTTCCATTCTCCCATTGCCAGGCATCCATCCCTTCCTGGTGGCACACCTCTCCCGCGGGACCTTTCCCCTCTCCCAGGAGCTCTCTTGCCCAGGTACACCTGCATCCACCCACCCCTCCTCACTGGTCCCCCTCTGGCACTCACCACGATGTGCACAGGTGGCAGGCTCTGCAGCATGCTCTCAGGTGCCAGCAGTGGTGACATGAAGGGGTTCTTGGCGATGGGCGACGAGTATAAGGGCATTTGTGTAGGGCCTTGGCTGGAGCGCCTCGGGTGGAAGCCCTCAGGGAAAGAGGCACCAATGCCTGGGCCTCTGTTCTGGGAGCTCAGCTCATCTTGGGCTTCAACCTCTTCTGGTTCAGCCTCAGGCCGAAGTAAGAAGTTGACATCCGAGGGCGTGGAGGGACCAAGTGTCTCTGCTGACAGTGACAGCTCAGGGGTGCCTGATGTATCCGAGCTGCCCCTGAGGCTCAGGTCATGCAGTGTCAGTTTCCTGAGGGGGTCTGTGCCCAACGGGTCCTCAGGCTGGGCCAGTGCTGCTTCAGACACACTGCGCCGCATTGTCTCTGTGAGAAGAGCAGGGTCAGAGGCCAGCTGGGGCTGCAGATCAGCCTGGCTGTGTTGGTTGGGTGTGTGGGTGGCTGGCAGGGAAGGTCATGGGAAGGGCAGAGGCCTCTGGAGAAGGAGCTGCATCCTAGGGCTGTGGAGACCTGGAGTATTCCCCCAGACACCCTCCTTGGGGAGGGGTGGGAGCTGCAGGAGTCTAAGCTGCAACTCCAAGGAGCAGGCGGAAGGAGTTACATGGTCCTGGAGGTGAAGCTGTGTTCTAGTGGAGGTGTGTGTGTGGTGATGGGGAAGGTTAAGAGCAAGTCACTTTACCTCTGGGAGTCTCAGTTTCCTCATTTGTACAAAGAGGATAAAAATAGTCTTTACCTCTTGGGGGTGCTGAGGATTCGATGGGATAAGATAATGGATTAGGTCCTGCTGTTTTATTACCAGACCTGGCACCCTATTCCAGCAGCCTCCTGGCCCAGCATGAGGCCCAGCCATCTTTTTATGTCTACTTGACACAGAGGGTATCAGTGGCTCAAAGTGGAGTAAGGAGTGGGCCCACCTGCCTTGAAAGGAGGCTAAAAGGGGAGCTAAGAAGAGTCTTGGGGGCATATTAGATTCCCAGGGATCTCACACCTGTAGCTACATAGACTTGCTCCCAAAATGTCCTTTGTGTTCTTCAGTTTTATCTCTTGCCTTTGAGTGACCAGACAAGCAAGTACCCAAATGATGCTTCAGATGTGCTTCTGGCCCACCAGCTGTACTCACTTTGGCCTCAGCTCCATTAATTTTATCAGACCCATGCTATTTACCACTAGGGCCAAGATTATATTTTTCAGGGTTTTTTCACTTGTCTATAAATCCATGAAAGTAAAATGCAAGATATAAGAATAACTGCATAAGTGCTCTGTGACCCGGGGGTCACTGGAACAGAACTGTTGACTAGAGTCACAGGGTACAGCCAGTCAGGGGTGCCAGCATCCTCTAAGAGTACCTACTGTGTACCAGTAGGTATTGTGCTGGGTGCTTGGCATGAATGGGTGCATGAAGTCCTTACGACAACCTTATGAGGCAGGTACTTTTATTGTACCCGTTTCACAGAGGGGCAACGCAAGGGTGACATCACCCAGCAAGTACCTGGTACAGTAGGGAGCTAGACTGGTTGTGTGTGTGAAGGGGGCGCTAAGGGCTGCACTTATCCTATAAGGAAAACCCCAGTGCTCAATGGTCTATGTGCCTAAAATTAAAATCCCTTTTGTTTGTGTGTGTATTTATTTGTATCTATTTGAATATCCTAAAAACCAAAACTTAATTTAAAATAAAACAACTAATTGGAATAATTTTCTGAATATTCATATACTTTTGAACATGCAATTCCTATTACTCAGAAAGTACTGTTGATTTGCAAGGGATAGAAAATAAGTTGAGTTGGTTGTGCTTTAAAATCCTTAAAATGTTAAAGGTGAGAAAAAATGGATCCCTAGATGAAAGCGACTTTAGGCTGCCTGAGGGTCTTGCCACCCACCCAAGGCTGGGAATCTCCTCCACTTCTCAAGGTCCATCCAGTTTGCTGATCTCCCTGCCTCAGCCTCCTAGGCTAGCTCCTGCAGCAGAATATTACCCCCCTGTGCCTCTGTTAAAAGCCTGGAAAGATTCTAAGAGGGCTGGACTCCCACCTGAGGGCCTGCCTGGAACAGGCCTGAGTAATTTACCAGGGTGCCTTTCTGGGAAAGGCTGTTTGGGAAGTTAAATCCTATAGTTCCTGGGGCTGAGATGATGTAGGGGGCCAGAAGTCCTTGAATTTCTAGGCTGTGGACTATAGTGGAAAATCCAGGCTTTGTGGTAGGGACCAGGACAGATATGGGGCAGAATAAGGAAGGCGATCTCTGCTTCCAAGTGCCCCAGGGCACAGCCCCTTTCCTCCCTCAGGACTTGAGGTGTGCCAGGCTGTCCCTCCTGGGCATGCTGGATGGGTGTGTGGGGAAGGCTTCACTTACCTGCCACAGGCATTGAGTTCGAGTGGGACCTGCGCCCACTCAGCTCCAGGAAGGAGTTGAGCCACGAGGAGGCCCCCAGGCGGAGATCCCGGAAGAGCAGGGCTGTGTCCCGCCGAACCAGCCCCATCATGCCTAGTGCCTTCTGGTCCGAGTTGGAGTGGTCCTCTGTCTCCCCACCTGCAGAGTACATGTGGGGGGCTGGGTTGTTCTCTTCTCTTTCTGGGCCCAGTCTCAACATCCAGGGATCTATTCCCCCAGGGACCCAGGAATAGCTGATCCCTTCGGTAGGAGTCTTAGATTCCTCTCCTCTGCCCCTCCTCCTCAGACCCAGGAGACTGGGCTCTAGCCCTGTCCCTGTAGGCCCTGGGCATCCTGGTCCCTCAGTTCCCAGCTCTGGGCCTTACCAGCATAGGCACTGACACACTTGGAAAGCACGCTCAGGGGCAGCAGGGGGTCCATGAGGCTCAGAAGGCGGGAGGGAGAGGCCGCGGGCTGTAGCATGGTGGCTGGATAGGCTGCCATGATGCCGTCTGGCACCCGCACCCCGTAGGCTGCTGCCCGCAGGGAGACGGTGAAGCAGAGGTTCCCGCCTGCGCTGTCCCCTGCGAGGCATATCCGCTCGCATGTTGAGCCTGGTTTGGAGGGGGGCTTGGTCACTCCTGGTAGGGAGGAACTCAGGCTCTGGGCCAGGAGCCTTGGGCTCTCAGAGGTAGGGTGTACAGGCCCCAACCCCAAAGTCTAGCCAAGTTTAGAGACTGGTAAACAGAGGAAGGGATTTGGGCCCGTTTGGAGGACAGTGACCAGAGAATCAGGCCAATTAAAGACATGGAGAGGCCTAGAGATCAGGAAGCTGTGAGGGAGCTTGGGAGGCTGGAGGCTGGAAGCAGGATGATGGGTGGGGGTGTAGGTGGGGTGGGGAGAGAGGAAGGGAGGGAAGGGCACCTGAGGTCAGGAAATGGAAGCCAGGGTTCAGGCTGACAAGGGGCCATGGGCTCTGTGGCATGGGACACAGTCCCACCCTGCTCTGTGCCTCCCAAGATGTCAGAAGTGCAACATCAGAGGAGCTGGAACAATGGGCTGGAGACTTCAGGGGTAAACAGGAAGAGGAAAAAAGGTCAGAGGAAACAACCACGGGGGAGGTGGGGGCATGGAGTGTCAGGGCTGGAGTGGGGAGCGGGAGGCAGAGGGGGAAGTGGTTGATGGAAGGTTGGGTGAACAGTGGACAATGGGGAGAGGGCACTGAGGCAGAGAAGTAGGAGTGGGCAGTGGGGGCAGCCAGGTGGCAGAGGGCTGGGAGGTAGGAGATGGAAAGGGAGGCAGGCAGGGGGTGAAGACTGAGGCTTGAGAAACAAGATGGCTCACTCCTCTGCAGTGCGGGCTGGGGCAAGCAGGCTGAGGCAGGAACAGAGTGGGAGGGGGAGGGCTGGGCTCACCGAGGAGGGCGCAGTTCTTGATGGCCCAGCAGTAGGCATAGAAGCACTCCTCCAGCGCTCGGGGGAAGGGGGCCTCTGGGGCCAGGGAGTAGTCAATGGAGAGGATGGGGACACCCAGCTCCTGGGCCCAGGTCTTGAGGTAGGGCTCATGGGACTTGGAGGTCTGGGCCACAAAGCCACCACCATGGATGTGCACAACCAGGTACCGAGAGCGGGGTGCCTGCGGGGGGCGTGGCCAAAGCTCCAGGCTCCGAGGACCTTCGGACTTCCCCAGGCTGTTGAGCTCCTCACTGTCCTGGGGGAGAGGGAGGAGGAGGTGGGTGAAGCTGGGGCATCCTGCCCGGGCCTCCCCCAACCAAGGGAATGTACTCAGAGCGATAGGAGGGGGGCAGGTGTGAGCAGTGAGTCAAGACAGCATGGAGGGAAGGAAGGGGGGCATCTGAGTGAGGGTGGGTGCTGCCCATGCCCCTCGCTCTGTACCCGTTCCTGGCAGGGGCCCTACCTGTCCTTCACGAAGATCATAGGAGATGAGCCTGACGAGGACTGGTGCAGGGCCCAAGTGGGCCGAGGGGGGTGAGATGGTGACTGTGAGTTTGGGGTCAGCAGTCAGTGGCATTTCAAAGGCCTCTGGTGGCAGGCTGAGCAGGCGGCTTACCCTCACGGTGGCCGATGCCATGTTTGCTAGAGACTGGTGGGAAGGAACAGAAAGGGCATTGGGGATGGGCAGCTTGAGTCCCCAGTTTTTCCCTTATGTGCCATCCGTGGGCCTGGAGCCCTGCAGAGACCTGATGTGGCCTGGGATGGCTCTCTGGGCCTCAGTGTCCCCTTCTTGTAACAGGTTAGGGCCCTATTAGGCCCCATGCTCACCGATAGCACCTCGATCTCAGTGATGTTCCAAAAGGCTTTCCAGAAGTGCACGTCCAGGTTCTGAGTGATCCGCTCAAACTCAGCCCCACGCAGCTCTGGGTCGATGGCAAAGCGGCCACCAGTAAAGAGGGAGCTGGCGGCCACACCTGGAGGTCAGGGAGCCCAGGTGGGTCAGACTGTGGGGGCACGCATGGGGAGGAGGGACGGGAGGGCAGAGGTGATGCAGGCAGGGCCCAGCTGGGCAAGACTCACTGAGGCCGGTTTCGTTGCGTTTGTAGTGCTCTCCAAAGGACACCAGCCCGATGGAGATGGTCTGCAGGAATGGCCTGATGGCAGGTGTGAACTGTGGAGAGATGCTGCTGTGTCACCCATTGCCCAGGAGAGGGACCAGGGGCAGGTAGGAGTGAGGGGCAGACATTATCATTCAGTAAACATTTACTGAGCTCCTACTGTGTGCCAGGCCCTGCCCTAGGCACATGCCATATAATATCAAGTAATGACTAATGCTCTGAAAAGACACTAGGTGGAGGGGACATAGAATGATGGCTAGGGGTTAGGCTACTTAGATGGTCTCTAGGAGGGGGCTTGAGGAGGGACCCAAATGAAGTGACAGAAGGCTGTTCCTTGCAGAGGGCAGGGCAAGTGCACAGGCTTTGCAGGGGCCTTGCTCAGCATGGATAAGGAAACCGGGGGCTGGTGTGTTTGGAGCAGGGTGAACGGTGGGGGGCCAGGGTGGGGGCGCCCAGGGTGAGGTCAGAGAAGCAAAGAGGGCTCACATGGGCCTGAGGAATTTAGATTTATTCCACACGTGGGGTGGAGCCACTGGAGGATTGTGAGCTGGGAGTAAGATGATGTAGGGACTTCCTAAAAGTCAGCGAGGACAGATATGAGATGTGGACAGCAATGGGGACCAGTTACAGGTCAACAGGAAGACAGATAGGAGATGGTCAGAGATAGGGCCAGAGATCTTGAGGCAGAAAGACAGCCAAAGGGGGAGACAGCATGTGAGAGAGCATCCAGGCAGCTCAGGGAAGACAAGACATGCGGAGACAGGGTCAGAGGAAAAAAAGCCACAGGAAGTGGGCACGGGGCCAGCAGGGTTCTTCTGTTCATTCAGCAAATACTGAGCACTAGGCACTGGGCTGGAGCAGGGGCTGAGCAAGATCCAGACAAGGGAGACCTCTGCTCTCCTGGGGCTGACATTTTACAGGGGAGGCTGTCCTGCAACACAGCACAGTTGGGCCCTCAGAGTAGTTGTCAGCCATGGCCCCTCCCCCTGGTAAGGAGCCCAGCAGGCCAGAGAGCACAGGGTTGCCTGGCCGCTGTGGCTGGATGCTGGCTCAGGTTGCCCCAGGATCTCTCTTCCGTGACTTGAAGGTCACAGCCAGAACATAGGAAGGAGCTGGCTGGTCCAGCTGGGCTGATCAATATTTATGGGTTCAGCTTAGGTGAGGGGAAGTTCCCAGGAACACCCAGGCTGGGTCACTGAAGATGGGCTGCTCTGCAGGGAAATGGGGAACAGTGAGGTGGGATGGAGGCTGAGAGGCTGCCAAGGCCAGCTATCACAGAGGTGTGGGGAGGCCCTGAGAAGGTCTGAAGGGGGCTACAGGGTGACACAGCTCCAGATACTCCTGGTGGGGTTCCCTGATGTGGCTGGGGACTAGGGGGGCTGACACTGACCCCAGAGAGGGGCAACTGGGCCTCTGCTCTGAGCCTGGTACCCCAAGGGCCCCCCCAATTCTCTGAATCCACAAATTACTTTTCCTATGAATCTGAAGGCCTCTGGGCTGCCTCCCTCTTAGTGCTGAGATGAGCTGTGTCTCCCTGAGGGTGGTCTGGGGTGAGCAGAGGGTAGAAGACCTGCAGCAGGCAAAAGTCAGGGTCCTAGTTCAGGGAGGAGAGGGGTTGAGACCAGGTTTTCCTCACTGTTACCAACACGGATCTACTTTTTGGTCCCACCCTCATTCTGAAAATCCCGTTTCTACAGCTCCTTAGGTGAGTAAAAAAGCCTAGGCAATCCTGGGTCAAGTTGAGCACCAGGGGGCGGGGGGCCCTCCCCTTAAACCTCTGTAAAATGGGGCTTGCACCCTCCCAGACCTCTAGTGGGGATGACTAAATGGGTATGCTCTTACAAATGGGCCTTTGAGGACAGTACTGACTATCCTCTTGGGGGTTTCAAATGATCTCAGGGGCCAGACAGGTAACATAAAAGAGTGAATGGATCTCCTGAGTATAGGACTCTAGAGAACAGTGGGGAGCCTGGTGCAGAAAGCTATGCAGATTAAAAGATTTCTTGCTGCATGGTGGATCCAGCCTGGGACCACATGTTTGAGATCCCGGTATAGCTGTGTGGACCCCAGACAGCTTCCCCTTTCTGTAGCTGCAGTTTTCTGAATCCATGACCCTTGTGGTTATTCTGCTACCCTATTGGGCCATATTAGGGGCCACCAGGTGCCTTCACTGTGGGCCCAGGGCAGGGCAGGGGGCTTACCTGAAAGCCCAGGCAGCGGCCGTAGAAACAGCCCTTGTGCAGAGTGACATACTCTCGCAGGAAGTCTGTGGTGAGTCTTTCGTCACCTTCGAAGAAGAGGCCCCCTGGCCGGTTGGTGGCCAGCAGGCGCTGGGCATAGTAGGTCAGAGCTCGGAGCTGGGTGAGGGCGGCCAGGTAGGCCTCGAGTTCAGCCAGGTTGTGGCTCGCACGGAAGAAGATGCTGCGGCGGTTGGAGGCCACGTAGCGCGATTTGTGCAGCAGGTGCGCCATGCAACAGCGGGCTGTGTGCACCAGGCTGCGGTACCCGTTGGCTGGCGTCTCTGCATCCAGGTCAAAGAGGTGCGCCACACCCAGCAGGCGGCCCAGGGCTGGCTCCAGCCCCAGCGCCTGCTCCCGAACACCCATAAAGACATTTGACAGCCGCCGTGCTGTCTCCCCGGGGCCCTGGCTGGAGAAGAAGGCCATATTGTCCTCTGCCAGAGTCACCAGTGTCTGTGTCATTGTGCGTAAGTCCATGCTTTGAATGAGCTGCGAGGCTGCGGGCAGGTGGAGAGGCTCATTAAGCAGGGCTGGATCACCCCTTGCTCACCCGGGGCCCTGGGCTCCAGGAGTCCAGGCTCTACCTCCTTCCTCCCTCAGACCCAGGCATCAGTACCCAGCCTCCTCCTTTAAACCCAATGGTGGAGTCTAGGTACCCAGATCCTTTGTCTTCCTCAGGAGCCAGGAGTTCAAACCCTCAGCCTATCTTTCCCCAGGTGTCCCTGCTCTCTTCTATTGGTTCCCTCACTCCAGCATCTCCTACACCCAGGAGTCTCCCTACCCCTTTTTCTATCTTTCAGGGACCTGTCTCCATTTACTGTCCTGGGCCCAGAACTCCTTCTAGGTTCTGTCTGGACTCCAGTTGGTCCCCGCTCTCAGGACCCAGGAGTTCAGGCCCCCATCTCACCTCCTTAGGCCCCAAGCATTGCCCATAGGCCCTTCCCCTCCACAAATATTTGGGAGTTAATCCCTTAGCACACCGATTCCCACCTGATGGTGTCCCAGGACCCTGGTCCCAAGCCCAAGTCTCTTTCTGAACCCAGGAGTTCATGATTCTAGCCTTACTTAAAACTGAAGAGTTACTCTTGCCCCTTCCTGGCCCCTCAAGTCTGGCTGTGGAACCCCCTCCAAACTCCAGCTCCCTCTCTGTTCCTCTGTGAGGTCCCAAAACCATCTCACTCCTCTCCCAGCTGGATTCCCTGGCCTTTGGGCCTGTCCACTTGGCTTAGATTGCATGGGCCAGCTCTGCTCTGCTGGCTGGAATAGCAGTACTCATACTCACTGATACCATTGACCCTGAGCTCACTCTGTGCCAGATCCTGTGTTAAGAGCTTTATGTGCATTTGTTCATTTGCCCTTGATAACCCTTTGAAACACAGACAGCCTCAGTTCACGTTTCAGCTATTTGTGGTAGTGTCCCATTATACAGGAGAGAAAACTGAGGCTCAGAGATGTTAAGTAAGGAGCTGAAGGTTGCATTAAAACTGGTACAGCACCCTGGCTGGGTAGCTCAGTTGGTTAAAGTATCATCCTGATATGCCAAGGTTGCAGGTTTGATCTCCAGTCAGGGCACATACAAGAAGCAACCAATGAACTCATAAATAAGTGGAACAACAAATTGATGTTTCTCTCTCTCCCTTCCTCCCCCCATCAAACAAACAAACAAACAAACAAACAAACAGCACCATATATATACATAAAAGCAATGGAGCAGAATTCAAACCCAGGTCAAGAGCCATGTCCCCCTCCTGGGGCTCTGGAGGCTGGGCCTCTAGCTCTGGCTCTCAGAAACTGGACTAGGCCTGATTCTCCACACTTGAGGGTCCCCCTTGGTGGCGATGCTCTCTGCTCCAGAGACTCTTCCCTCCTGCAGCCTACCCAGCACCTGCCTGGCTCCTGGCTTGATGCCCCCCTGCCTCCTCCCAGAAGAAGGTATCTCCTCTCTCTCCCTTCCAGACCCTGGGGTTTGCCAGTGGCCATTCCTGTCTCTCAGGGCCATTCCTGTTGCTCAGTTGGCTGTGCACTCACCCCTCTAGGCCTCTCCGGAGCTTCCCCCAGGCTAGGACTGCTGGACTGTGGCTTCTGCCAGTAGCAGCCTGGGGCGATAAACCAGGGGAGGAGCCCAGCCTACCCAGGGTGTGGCCACTGATCCACCTCCCACCCACAAGGGAGGGTGAGAACCACGTGCTATAAACAGAGTACGGAGCCCAACTCGAGCCCAACTCCCTGCCCCCGTCTGCTCCCAGCCCCAGTTCAATTCTGCTTTAGAACCCTCAGGAGTATCCAGCCTCCGACCTCCCTTAGACACAGGAATCCAGGCCCCCAGCTCCTCCTCCCTCAGACCCAGGAGTCTAGGCACCCAGTCCCCTTTGGACCCAGAAGTCTTAGCCCTAGTCCTGAACAAACTGTCCCCTTTCACCCGGCCAGGCTGCCCTCCCTCTCTCCAGGGTGGATTCAGGGAGCAAAGGCCCCATGATCTCAGCTCCTGCCACCCCCACCCCCCAGGCTTGCCCTGGCACAGCCAGCCCCAGCTGTTAGGGAAAGAGAGAGGATAGCCAACCCTGCCTGTCCCTCCTGGGAGGACAAAAGCAGATAAAAGATAGTACCAAACTCAGCTAGGGGCCTGAGCCACAGGTCCTACTGGGTGGTCTTCCCACACTGGGCGCCCTGAATCTGCCACTTACCCTTCACAGCCCATCCTGCTGTGACTGTTCTGTCCACTTCACATATGGGGAAAGCAAGGCTGAGAGACACGTCACCTATGTAAATCCACATGCTTCTTGCCTGGCCAGCTCTTTCTTGCCCTTCAGTCCTCAGCTTGTCACCTCCCTAACTGCTCATCCCTGTAGGAGGTATGCCACCCAGCACTATTTTCTGCCAACATACTTAAGTTTTTCCTAGAATTTTACACATTTGCAATTATACATTTGTTTGTTTACATGTTCATCATTTATCTCCCCCCCAGGGGCAGAACCAGGCTTTATAGAGCCAAGAAGCTTATAAGAGCTGTGAAGCCCTGGGATTCCCAGACAGTCTTTGGCACTTGAACCTGCTCCTCTTACTGCTTGCACACCCCAGCCAGCCTTTCTCACCAAGATCCTGTGCCTAA